GGCTATATTCCCTGATTCAGTGTGTAGTAGCGGTGCTGGTGATCGGAGTGAGTGTGAGGTTGTGCTGTGCTGCAGCTGGTTCAGGAACTAGAAGCTGGAGCACATCTGCTTGCCTGAAGCTCTGCCTCTGCTTGGTCGGGTCAGTGGGCAGTATTGTGGATGCTCCTGTGTCTGTGCTGTTGAACCTGAGGAGCTCCCGGTGCCTGTACACCTGTATCGCTATGGTCTCCTGCCCCCTCCTGCTCAGGCAGTTCACCGTGTGCCTTCTGCTTCTACTCACCCTTAATACACACCTGCAGAGCCGCCTGGGGAACAGGTGAGTGAACATCCTGACCTTGCTTGCCGTGCTTATGTTTGAGAAGTTCAGCAAGTCTCAGCTATTGGGATTTTTGCATATGTGAAATAATATTAAAGACTCGATTTGTGCTGACTATAAAATCGGATTACTAAATTGTGCTGAATATGCTAAATAGTAAAAATTCAGGACGGAGCTTATGTTTCTTACAGATATGCAGGCTTAGTGACTCGTAGGCGGGTTTTGTGCTCGGTGCTGCTCTGCTGGGTCATTTCAGTGATCATTGCCTTCGGCCAGTTCATCGTTTCCAACTCTTCGGATACCTGGGGAGCATCTGAGGATGACGATACGGCTTGACTGTGGATGGATGAATGGCCTGAAGCCAATTATACCACCCCTACCCTCCCTCCCAAACGTCCCTACCCACAGGATCGCTCTGTAATCGGGCAGTTCTTGCCTTACGGAGGATTTCTTTCCAAGTTCCTGGTGGAGGACAAGGAGAACTTCACATATGCGGAGATCCACGGCAGCCATTGGGGCGTCTGTGCCCCCGACACCACGCTCAGTCCCGTCTTCATGGTGTATGTTTATGCCGTCACCGTGTTTGTTATCCCTTTGTTGGTTCTGTCGGGTGTGTATCTGGACTTGATGTGTTTCATGCCACAGCAGGTTTCAGTGAGCTCCACATTTTCTCAGAAACGAAGCTCAGTGCAGTCTCACTCATTGGCTCTCTCTATTTCTCTACTAGTAATGCTTTGCCTGCCCCTGCACATCACCCACGCTTTGTTACTCTTCGCCCCGAGCTCCGCTAGACCCAGCTGGACCTCTCTGACGGCCTCTGTTCTCTTCCAGATGTATAGCCTAGTGCCCCCCCTTCTCTTCACCAACACCTCTCAGCAGGTAGGCTTTGAGTGCTCCTTATTATCCGTGCCCAACCTGACCTCGAGGGTTATCTCCTCTCGAGTCAAATCTGTGAAGATTTCAGTCACCCTGGACCAACACTGAAAGCCAAAGCTTCTCCAGAGATGTGATGGGAGGTCATATGAAGAGGGCACTTGCACCAAAAGTTATCTGAGTCCTTGCATGGGTTATATGAAATTATTGAGTAAAACTAATCCAATACTAGCTCATGGCAGATGCCAGGCTTCCTGCAGTGTATTTGCTTTAGGGTCGATCCATGTCATTTCAGATTGAATTAAAGAAGTGTGTTGCTGCACAACAATTTTCTTCATACTTTTTTTGTGTTGTATGAAACCTAAAACTAAAGTATGAAAAATTGGTAATTTTTGGAGCCCCTGTAATTATTATACACCTACATATCACATTTCTCCAAAATGTACCCATTTAAATATAGCTAATGACTGCAGTCATTAGTTCTATTTAAATGGGCACATTTTTATATTCACAGTGAAGTCTTTCCGATTGATGATTTCAAACTCTATTGTTATGCTATTTGACCGCTTTGTATCTGCTATTTGATGCTGTGATTCACATATTCTGTCTTATATACTGTGACGAATGGATTTAAAGCAATGTAAACTGCACCTTGCTGCTTTGTTTTCTTCAGAAAAATGTCTCTGCTGTGATTTTCTGTGTGTGTGCTGAGATCTTGTGCTGCTGCATTAAAGTATGCGATAGGTTGAGCACATTTTTATATAAGGCTGACATTTAATTGCGAATCACATAAATGACATATTTTAAAACCAAAATTATGCATCTGCAGTAAGGTGACATGTAAATATTTCACTTATAAAATCATGGAGCGTGATTATCAAAGGTAAAAATAGGTTGTTGCATGTTGTAGAAGTTGCATTCAAAATCCACTTGCCTTAAAGTCTGACCATCTGCAGAAAACAATCTGATGGAATGTTTACATGTTTAGGCTGATATTATCAAAGGTTTACACCACCCATTTCAATGTGAATGAAATTTCATTCATATTTGATCAGTTTATTCTAATTAACATATAGTTATATGAAACATTTTCATTCAGACTGGGCTAAACGAGTGCCTAAAAATGAGCAAAATATTGTACCGCACCTGACTAAAATTTTAACATCTCACATTCTGTTAATGGACTTGCAAATTTGACAAAGCCAATCAAGACTTTGGCTTTAAGATCGAAAAACATTTATTTTTATCCTTGGTGTTTTGGATTTAGGCCTCAATACCACCACGTCTAAAAAGTTTTCACTTTTTTCCAACTTTAGGGGCCAATTATGAAAATACTTGAACTCAGCAGGGACACTGAGCCATTTGAATTTGAAGGAAACAAGTTTGTGTATGCATCTTCCAATTCCTGTGAGGCTAGCAATCGTAATTCTTGAGTTATCATACCCTGAACATGGCTTCCCAGATAAGACCTTTTTTGGCTTGGAAATAATGAATTCTTCAGGGAGGGCAGAAAAATTATCAAATTGTTACAATATGCAAGAAGTATTCTTAAGGCTTTAGTTTTATGTCACCAGCAACAAATAAGCAATCTATGGTGCAGAAATTAAACCTTCCGATTGAACATGTAATGAATCATAAGAAAGCACTTTGTAAATTCCTGTTATGTGGCACAAATGGTCCAATAAATATTCCATTGATGCCATGTTTAATCCCAGTGATACTCTAGGATTGACGGTGAAATGATTTTACCAACAATCTCAGAAGACTGTTATATGAATACATCAATATGTTTGCATACTTATACATAATTAAATATAGTATATTAAAATGTGTTTCATCAATGTTTAAACCTGGCGCAAGCTTTTGGTCTGATCTGAATGTTTAATTATAACAACTATAATAGCATATCAAGTGGGAGAGACCGTTTGAATGCATCGAGATAATTAACCACTCAATAACTCCCAGGGAAAACAGGATTCCATAGCTGTTTTGATTAAATGCGTACTTCTTATGTGCAGCTCGAATAAAAGCCCTGTTTCACACTAATTGGATTATTCTTTTTGCTCACTTGTGCCAGTGCTGGTGTAAGAAATGACTCCTTTTGTATCTGAATATTTGTGTTGTGATCTCCGTGTCTTCTTCTCTCTCCTCGCCATCTCACTCCCCCAATCCACCCATTATCCACCCAAGTTTCAAGCATGAAATCCTCCATCTAATGTCACTTTCACTCACTCTGTCTTTGTAAAGCCCCGACTTTGATTTGCCTGACGCTTTTTCCTTTCTTGATCATTGTCTTCCACTCATTTTTCTTGCAAATGCCTTTCTCTCTCATTAAAGTCTGCACTAACCTCCAAAGCCGAGGTGAATTATTGAGTGAAGCTGGACTGTCAGAAAGGAAAAACAAGTAAAAGCTCTCCCTATCCAAGAGCCCATTCGATTGTTTTCTCCACTCGAGAGCCTTTAGCTTCCTGCTGATATGACAATCTTTTATCACTAAAGCGGCTTCGGTCAATTCATCGCACCTGCTCTAGTCCACATCCTCTTGAATGGGGTCATTACAAGAAGCTGGGACGCTTCAAATCCGTCACGCACAGAACGTAACTGTTTATCGTCCTTGGATAAAGCCGAAGGAAAGTTTGACCAGCATATGCTTTATTACCCATAGATCTGAGATGCCAGGCGAGGTCCTGTAAACAAAATTACAAGAGATTGATGAAGTTCTGATGAAGTCATTTTTCATTTGAACTCGCCGTTTGGAGTTTGCCAGATCGCTGAAGCGTTACTTGAAATTGCTAGCATATGTCCTTCTTTATCTAAGGAGCTGCTCAAAGCGAGCAGAACAGCAGGTAACGCAGTGTGCGCTTTGATTGCCATGTGACAGTTACTGTTTATGACAGGCTTCTGCAGAGCCTCTCCATCAATAGAGTACAAACACATCGATCAGTCATCCTCCCCTCGGCTTTTAAAGGTAGAGCCACCCCTCCCGGAGCGCTCAGCAAGTGACTTCTGACACAATCGTATATTGATTGCAGTGGAATAGAGGAGTCCTATTTTAATGCACCTGCTTTCTCTTTGGTGTCTCTGCTCTTTTGTCACAGGAGTCTTATGATTCATCATCTCAGTCACAGCTTTCATCTCTGCTGGCTGCTTCTGCTAATTAAAATATCCTCCCCTTTTCCTTGCTGCTTTCCTTTATTGCCACCGCTGAAACTTGATTGTGTCAGCTTCTCGAAGTCAGAAAATCAGTCTTAAATTCTTTAAGTATTTTTTATTTTGTCGTGCTTGGTATCTTTCCCCTTATAAAGATGTACAGTTAGCTATATCAACAGCGACGCAAAGACTACAAAATAAACAGGAAGTGAAAGACGGACAACTAGAAGGAAAGACACAAACAGGATCAAGAAGGAAATGACAGAAGTGAATGAAAGAGAAGAGAGAAAAGTGGGTACACGGTTGTTTCTACTGGTAAAACTAAAGCATGGGAAGTATACAATTTATAACATTTACAATTATAATAACAGTAAGAATAATAAGAATAACAACAACGACGATCATAATAGTCCAAATAATAATTAATAAAAACAATTAAGACCTCTGATATCTTTTAAAGACAAACGAAATATATATATTTTTTGAATTTGTATTTATTTATTTTTTTTAAAGATGACGTAACAGTAGTTTGTTCAGTTTTGCACCTCTAAGCTAATATTCTGTGTTAGTACGATAGCATCGCTGGGTAATGCGCGCAAAAGTAAATGTGTTTTTTTTTTCTTAAAAGAGTCATTTAACGTACTTTTTCATACAAATAATGTTTGTCGTGCTTGGTATCTTTCCCCTATAAAGATGTACAGTTAGCTATATCAACAGCGACGCAAAGACTACAAAATAAACAGGAAGTGAAAGACGGACAACTAGAAGGAAAGACACAAACAGGATCAAGAAGGAAATGACAGAAGTGAATGAAAGAGAAGAGAGAAAAGTGGGTACACGGTTGTTTCTACTGGTAAAACTAAAGCATGGGAAGTATACAATTTATAACATTTACAATTATAATAACAGTAAGAATAATAAGAATAACAACAACGACGATCATAATAGTCCAAATAATAATTAATAAAAACAATTAAGACCTCTGATATCTTTTAAAGACAAACGAAATATATATTTTTTTTGAATTTGTATTTATTTATTTTTTTTAAAGATGACGTAACAGTAGTTTGTTCAGTTTTGCACCTCTAAGCTAATATTCTGTGTTAGTACGATAGCATCGCTGGGTAATGCGCGCAAAAGTAAATGTTTTTTTTTCTTAAAAGAGTCATTTAACGTACTTTTTCATACAAATAATGACTTTAGAGATATGTTTCATTGTGTAAGCGTTTTCGTGTTGAGCAATCGAAAAAAAAAATATTTATATTGAAATTTCTGACATGTTCTCTACAAACTCCTTCCTGTTTTTTCTCACCCAAGTCGAGCTCCTCACGGTTTCACGTTTCCAATGACTTCGCGATAATTAAGCCCCTTTTTTACAATGTCAGAGTGAACGGTCTGCTCCAATTCATTCCTCTCATAAAAGAGAACATGTCTAATCCCTTAATTATTAACAAACAATAGTGGAGAGATAGTGGAGGGAGAGGAAGGAGCATCGGAGAGCGGGAAATCGAGAGTCATCGAGAGAGGATCAAAACGAGAGAAACTTTTTTTCACAAGTCAACAGGTTTTGGCCAACGTGAGCAGATAATGGAGTCGCCAGATGAAAAGCCCAGATGAATACTTTATGAGGACGGCTCTGAGCTCTCAGCGCTGTCATTGGTGGATTTATTGTCTACCAGCTCAGTCTCTGAGGCCCGAACGCTTTGGCAAATGCAGGGAATTTCAATTTGCTCACGTTGGGACATTCAATAGCTCATAAGCCCTTTGCGGCTTCCCACAGCGATGCCGTTTCACCCGGGTTATGGATCGGCCTGTTTTGAATGGACACTTTTCTCTCCTGGTCCTACAATTACAGCTAGTTGTCTATGGTACTCGCAAGTAAAAACAGAAAGAGTGTGTGTGATGGTCTCTTTCAATCATAATAATTATCCTCTCCTTCCGGCTCTCTCCACCCCGCTCCAATGTTGTCTCCATTCTCTCCTTCCCACTCCATCTTCATATGGCACGATTGTGATTCCCTCTGGTTGTCGTAGTGGTGGTGTGTGGGTCTGTTTTTGGGAATAGTGTGTGTTGCGGTGTGCACTCTGCAGAGGTCCAGTGTTTCTGAAGAGCTCCTCTAGGGCGGCGCTACAGTAGGTACTCCTTCTTGCCCTGGCTGGCATCATTACCGTTGAGGAACGCCTCCTGAACCTCACCGTGTTCATCCAACCCACTGGCCTCGTGAGTCAAATATGAACCTAGAGAGAAAGAAAGACAATTTCATCAGAATTAGGTTCATACTTCACTACAGGAATTAAAACAACAACAAAAAACATATTAAATCACTTGCCGAGTGCAATTAGATATATTTTCTATTAAAAACAGGACTTAATGTTGTCTTAATTATTGTCTGCTCCTGCTTTGATTTGCATCCAGTAGGGGACTGAGGCTGGTTGATATTTAATCATTAACTTTTAAAACATTTGACAACCCCAATAAAAAATGTGGTAAGCTGCCCCTACCTGACATTTATGAAAAATGCCTCTGTCCTGGTTTAGCCTTTTAGTTCAAATCACCCATCATTATATAATTGACTGAATACGTATAAGTGTGATCTATGTTCACTTTTCATACAACAACATTTATTAACAGCCGAATTCACAAAAAATCATTTAAATTTAAGAAGTGTTTGAAACCATCATACAAAAGCACAATTGGATTTTTGACACCTTTCTGAGATGTAAGCCTTGTGAAAACTTCCCCGTATCGGTATTAATTTTTGAATTATGTAGTATTATTCAAATATTCGATTTAAATACTTTAGATATTTAAATACTTATTATAAACAAGACAAAAACATAGAAATCTTAAATGAATGGTTCAGCCAAAAAATTGTCATCATTCCTTCACCTTTATGTAATTCCTATAAGTTAGTGTTGATTAATATTTGGAATTAGCTTAACTAGTTTTCATTTTAGTTAAATGTTTAGTAATTTTAAGTGCTTTTGTCATTTTTAAAAAAATATTTCTATTTAGCTTTATATTTATTTTAGTTTGAGTGATTTTAGTATATTTAATATATAATATATTTAGTACTAAACTTATTTTATTTCAGTTAGTTGCCAAGGCAACATTTCCAAAACTAACATTTGATAGTTTTTTTTTAGTTTTCATGTAATAATTATATTTTATTTTCAGATTTCAATTAATAAAATAATTAACTATAACAACACTGCCCCACATGACAACTAGCCCTCATGCCCATCCATATTTTTTATTTTTATTTTTATTTTTTTATCTTCTAAAGTATTCTCAGTGTATTCTAATTTGTATGCATAACAGTCTATAACTTTTGCACGTTCCCTCTTGTGTCTTCACCTACACCCGAGTGGCCTCAATCAGTATGTCTCAAACTAAACTGTCCCCTGGGGATTCATGCCGTTGTATTAGATCGCACAAATATAAACATTCATCATCACGTTTCTGACAGTTACAGCTTCTTTCGCAGGGCCAGCAAAAGTCATCTTACTGTAATTGGGGGGAACTTATGCAGATCAACTTTTAATTATTCACTAAATTCATTAGGAATAATCACCTCTGACATTTTGCTGCACAGTCAGTGACTTGGTACAGTGCGACTTTTTTATTCACATCATTATATGACGGTTTTGCCTCTGTGGCTGGGAGACAAATAACTGAAATAACTCGGGCAGAAGTGACTCTGTGGCACAGGCATGACACCGTTTAATTAAAAAAAATCGATCTTATGCACGTGCAATTTTGCTTTCCTAAAATGCAAGTGTGCAGCAGAGGCTGATGGGGCCATTAAAAACAGTGATGTCGTGGACCGCGCAAGACCAGCACAATGTATAAAGTATTCTCAGTGTATTCTAATTTGTATGCATAACAGTCTATAACTTTTGCACGTTCCCTCTTGTGTCTTCACCTACACCCGAGTGGCCTCAATCAGTATGTCTCAAACTAAACTGTCCCCTGGGGATTCATGCCGTTGTATTAGATCGCACAAATATAAACATTCATCATCACGTTTCTGACAGTTACAGCTTCTTTCGCAGGGCCAGCAAAAGTCATCTTACTGTAATTGGGGGGAACTTATGCAGATCAACTTTTAATTATTCACTAAATTCATTAGGAATAATCACCTCTGACATTTTGCTGCACAGTCAGTGACTTGGTACAGTGCGACTTTTTTATTCACATCATTATATGACAGTTTTGCCTCTGTGGCTGGGAGACAAATAACTGAAATAACTCGGGCAGAAGTGACTCTGTGGCACAGGCATGACACCGTTTAATTAAAAAAATCGATCTTATGCACGTGCAATTTTGCTTTCCTAAAATGCAAGTGTGCAGCAGAGGCTGATGGGGCCATTAAAAACAGTGATGTCGTGGACCGCGCAAGACCAGCACAATGTATCAGAGCTTAAATGTACCTCTTCCTCTGCCCTAAGATTAATCACTTCCATTCTGCCTTTCCAGCCACCCCAAGGTTAGACAGGATCAACCCTAATGCTCTCTGTCTCTGCACCGATGGGTGAACTAACTGCATGTGATTTTGATTGGCAGGTGAGCTCGGGTTCCTCTGCGCCCTCTGCCTCCGCCCCAATTTGCGGGTGCCGTGATCTTTATTGGAAACGGTGACACACAGAGATGGCCAGAAGTTCTTAAAGAGTTCAGGGCAGAGGTAATTAAGTTTTCTTTATAGATTCGCCACGATATGGTTGACGAAAAACGGCAATTAAACATGAGGACCGTGCCCACATTTCCCTGGGCTACATCTCTATATCACAGGACTGGCACAGTCCTCTGAAGACGTTCGTTCTTTCTTTCTTTCTTTTTTTTTTTCATCTGAACCCATTTACACAAATATATGTGCCCTCAGGAATCAAAAAAAGAAGAAAACACCTACACCAACTATTCTCTCCTCCTGATTTCTTTACTCATCCGTTACATCACCTTAGGGGTGGGTGGCATGATCAAAATCTCCAACAGGATCACTAGTGCGATACTGGTTTAATACAACAGTTCCATAACCAAAAAGATAATACAAGTAACCTACATTTCAGACCACATTTGACCAGTTTTGATCTCTTTATCCCCAACCAAGAGACAATTTCCAAAAGATGAAATGCAATTCAGAAACAAAGTAACAGTAAAAAAAAAAAAGTAATATTATAACTAAAACACTACTGCTCAAAAGTTTGTGGTTGTAACATTTCCACCAAGGTTGCATTTATTTGATCAAAAATACACTAAAACCGTAATATAGTGAAATATTATTGCAATTTAAAATAACTGTTCTCTTTTTTTAATGCATTCAAAAATATTTATTCCTGTGATGGCAAAGCTGAATTTTCAGCAGCTATTACGCCATTCTTCAGTCACATGCTCCTTCAGAAATCATTCTAATCTGCTGATTTGCACCTTGTTATCAATGTTGAAAACAGCTGTGCTGCTTAAGGAAGAACATTTATTAGAAATAGAAAACGTTTATAATATTATAAATGTCTTTACTTTCATTTTTGATCAAATTTATGTGTCCTTGCTGAATTAAAAGTATTAATTTCTTTAAAAAACAAACAAACAAAAAATATCTTTGATCTGTAGAGCTTGTAACTAATATTCCAAAAACTCTGAATCTAAATAATATTCAAAATACTCATGCATTTCTTGCTTATATACATCCTTTATTCATCCTCACATCTCGCTCTGTATTTTCACATTACTCAGTGTACATTACGCACCCTGTTTGATCACTGATAAGAATCCACTGCAGTATTAAAGCGCCCCTATTATGCCATTTCCAATATTGCCTTTCATGCAGTGTGTAATGTAGCTATATGTGAATGTAAACGATCTGCAAAGTTGTAAAGCTGAAAGCGCACGATAAATAAAGTTATTGTCTCCCAAAATAAAGAATGGACTCTGAACAGCTGAAACGAGTCGTTAGTCATTCTAATCCCACTTCCGTGACGGCTACACGTCACGGGGTATCTTATGCACGTGCAATTTTGCTTTCCTAAAATGCAAGTGTGCAGCAGAGGCTGATGGGGCCATTAAAAACAGTGATGTCGTGGACCGCGCAAGACCAGCACAATGTATCAGAGCTTAAATGTACCTCTTCCTCTGCCCTAAGATTAATCACTTCCATTCTGCCTTTCCAGTCACCCCACGGTTAGACAACCCTAATGCTCTCTGTCTCTGCACCGATGGGTGAACTAACTGCATGTGATTTTGATTGGCAGGTGAGCTCGGGTTCCTCTGCGCCCTCTGCCTCCGCCCCAATTTGCGGGTGCCGTGATCTTTATTGGAAACGGTGACACACAGAGATGGCCAGAAGTTCTTAAAGAGTTCAGGGCAGAGGTAATTAAGTTTTCTTTATAGATTCGCCACGATATGGTTGACGAAAAACGGCAATTAAACATGAGGACCGTGCCCACATTTTCCTGGGCTACATCTCTATATCACAGGTCTGGCACAGTCCTCTGAAGACGTTCGTTCTTTCTTTCTTTCTTTTTTTTTTCATCTGAACACATTTACACAAATATATGTGCCCTCAGGAATCAAAAAAAGAAGAAAACACCTACACCAACTATTCTCTCCTCCTGATTTCTTTACTCATCCGTTACATCACCTTAGGGGTGGGTGGCATGATCAAAATCTCCAACAGGATCACTAGTGCGATACTGGTTTAATACAACAGTTCCATAACCAAAAAGATAATACAAGTAACCTACATTTCAGACCACATTTGACCAGTTTTGATCTCTTTATCCCCAACCAAGTAAACAGTAAAAAAAAAGTAATATTATAACTAAAACACTACTGCTCAAAAGTTTGTGGTTGTAACATTTCCACCAAGGTTGCATTTATTTGATCAAAAATACACTAAAACCGTAATATAGTGAAATATTATTGCAATTTAAAATAACTGTTCTCTTTTTTTAATGCATTCAAAAATATTTATTCCTGTGATGGCAAAGCTGAATTTTCAGCAGCTATTACGCCATTCTTCAGTCACATGCTCCTTCAGAAATCATTCTAATCTGCTGATTTGCACCTTGTTATCAATGTTGAAAACAGCTGTGCTGCTTAAGGAAGAACATTTATTAGAAATAGAAAACGTTTATAATATTATAAATGTCTTTACTTTCATTTTTGATCAAATTTATGTGTCCTTGCTGAATTAAAAGTATTAATTTCTTTAAAAAACAAACAAACAAAAAATATCTTTGATCTGTAGAGCTTGTAACTAATATTCCAAAAACTCTGAATCTAAATAATATTCAAAATACTCATGCATTTCTTGCTTATATACATCCTTTATTCATCCTCACATCTCGCTCTGTATTTTCACATTACTCAGTGTACATTACGCACCCTGTTTGATCACTGATAAGAATCCACTGCAGTATTAAAGCGCCCCTATTATGCCATTTCCAATATTGCCTTTCATGCAGTGTGTAATGTAGCTATATGTGAATGTAAACGATCTGCAAAGTTGTAAAGCTGAAAGCGCACGATAAATAAAGTTATTGTCTCCCAAAATAAAGAATGGACTCTGAACAGCTGAAACGAGTCGTTAGTCATTCTAATCCCACTTCCGTGACGGCTACACGTCACGGGGTAACACATTTGCATAATGCGCGCCTATGTTCTACGTTGGCCGGCCGCGAACAACTTGAGCCGATGACTGCTTCTCTAATCTCGGGGAGTTCAACGTGGGATTCACAAAACGCTTGCTGTTGAAAGATGGATCAGTATCCTGTTTATTTGGACCAGCTGCTCCACTGAATCACAACCTGTAAGTATGATAAATAATAGATGTTTATATTTTCTATAGAGCGTTCAAAATACAAAACTATTGAAATAGGCATATCGTTTCCGACACGTGCTGTACGCCGTAGACCAATCACAACAGACTAGGCCATCTGACCAGTCAGAGCAGAGCAGACGGAAAGGAGGGGTTTAGAGAGACTGAATCTTTGAACTGCTTTGAACGAATTGTTTGAGAATCTCTGGAAAATGAGGTGATATTAAATGCATATTTTGAGAAAACTAAAGCGTTTTTTGACCTTGCATGCATGTAATCCTATTGTAGGAGACTCCCAAAACAATATTAGGAACCGTAAAAATGGCATAATAGGGGCACTTTAACAGTAAAAATCTCTACAGAGTAATATTTCTACCATCATATAGTATTTTGTACAGCCCAACCTTATAACACCATCTACTACTGTCCTTTTTTCAATTCTTGTTCATGCTGGCTCTCACTGCACCAAACACCAACAAACTGGATGAATGATTGAACCTGGTTGATGTTGGTGCAGTGTGAACCAGCCTTTATCTTCCCCAGACACTCTCTCTACCGCCTGGATATTTGTTACTTCCTCCCTCTCCTCAGAAGGTGAGGTGCCACATGTCAGTGTTTGTGGAGAGAGGAGGTCACCTTTCTGTCGGACGGAGCACCAGATGGTGACGATGAGCACACAGATGACAGTGAAGACCAGCAGAGCCAGGATGCCCCCGATCATTGCATACGGAACGGCACTGTGGGTTTCCACCACTGCCCCGGGGTCTGAGACACACACAAAAAGGTTTCAGCTTTAGCATTTTAACTAAAAACAAGTGACTTGTGAAAACAAAGAAATCCCATTAGTGCACCGTTATTTTTATTGCTTGCATTTTATTAGTTAAAAGAGACAATGACTGCAGAGGAAAGATGCCATCGGAGTCTGTGTGTGAAGTTACAGTAATGTTTTTTTTACAGTAAAGTTTTACCTAAACTGACAGATAGGAAACAGTGAGAGGCAGAGACACTCAGAATCATCAACACATGAGGCTGGACAGCATCCTTAAATATTTAACAACCTGTTTACACCACACACCGGTGGGTAGAAAAGCAAAATAGGAGAGATGGAGACTGAGTGAATGAAAGAAACAGAGAGACACATAGATAGAGAGAGCAGAAGAGAGAAAGTGACATACAAAACGAGTACAATGCCAAGAAAGAGTGAGGAAGGAAAGTGCTGTATGTTTGAGCGTGGGGCAAATGTCAACACCAATCAGAAAAGTTTTCACGAGTGCCTGAAAAACAACCCTAGTAAAAACGTAATACATTTAAAATACATTTCTTTCATACCAAGTGGTTCAAATCTTTTAACACATTTACTGCTAGAGACTTACTCATATAAAAATGATAATTAAACAGTATTTGGAGTACTACTTGTGCATAATGCATTTCTTAATATTAAGCCTAAAATGGGTTTGTGTAATGTCACTATTGATGAGAATTGTATGATATTTGAATAATATTGGCCTTTAAATGCAAGATATTTAAAGTGTACCTGAACACCAGATGGTGACGATGAGCACACAGATGACAGTGAAGACCAGCAGAGCCAGGATACCCCCAATCATTGCATACGGAACGGCACTGTGGGTTTCCACCACTGCCCCGGGGTCTGAGACACACACAAAAAGGTTTCAGCTTTAGCATTTTAACTAAAAACAAGTGACTTGTGAAAACAAAGAAATCCCATTAGTGCACCAGAATTGTTGTTTCTGCGCGAAGTATCTCTTTAACAAACATGCTCACTATGAACCCTCCTTGGGAAGAAAATTCTCACACAGCTCTTTTCTTTGAAATTGTTCAAACTTTTGTGTTTCGCTGAACAGCATATGGATCTGAAACCACCAGAGTGAGTAAACAATGTCTTTTTTTTTTTTAAATATGAAATTAAAGGTAAAGTGTGTAATAATGTTTGCTTTCAAAAACAATTCCTGTCTTCTATTGGTAAGCCAAACTGATAACCCCGCCCCCAAGCTCACACCATTGGTTGAGCTGATGTTGCTGTGTGGTCCAGATTTTCAAACAAACAAAACAATGGTTTCACCACAGAGACCCAGTGTTTACATTTTCTAAGGGAAATAAACCTACAAATGGCTTTACTTACAGTTGTCTCTGCATATTAAGCTGGGATAAGAGAAAGTATTTAAACATCAAAAAAATTACACACTTCACCTTCACCGCAAATGCTTCAGAAACAGCGGGAGAGCTGGAGAGGGAGGTCGCCTTTGAACAGGCTGTCGAGTAACATTTCATTAGGAGTCCGTTTCAGAGACGATGAAAAATGAACGCTGCTCCCTGCCTCACGCACACTTTTCAGGGAACCAGCCACCCGGTGCTGAGGAAGTGACATTAGAGAGCGTCTCTTGCTTCTACTTGTAATTGTCTTTCTCTTCTATTCTGTTCTGGAAAACACAGTCTTTATCCCTTCAATTCTTGCTGGACATTGAAGACAGCAAACATTGCCAGTCAGAAAGAGGAAGAGCAAGAAATGAGAAAAAGGTGTATGTGAGAGAATATGAAATATAGAGCCATCAAAAAAAGCATCATTGATTCAATGACTGTGCACTTTGAGGTGCATGAAATGGAAATGTTAGAAAATGCATCTGATCTCTTCTGCAGGTCAGTGTGTTGGAGCTGCGGTGTGAGGTTTGTGCAGTGTTGCGTGATGTTGATGTCTTGCGGTACAGTGAAGTCTCTTAGTAGTTCTGTCAGGTGGGAGGATCAAGGGCTTCCGTCTGACCTGACCTCACTTCCCACAACATCATGAATGACAAGTGATGCTGTGTAGAGCCAGGCCTCTTTTAAAGGGTCATTGTGTCTTTTTTTTTGCTCTCTTTCTTGCTCTCTCTTTAAGCATGTGTTTCTTCATCTGTTCTCAGGCTCTTAAATTCTAACGAAAAACAAGGCGCAGCAGCTGAGTAGATCCTCTGGAGAGCGGCGCTAGTGCTTCAGATGACAAGGGCACTTGGAAGACAATAGGATTGTGTGCACATGCATCTAAAGGAACATTAATAAACACAAAACATGAATGAGAAGAAGAGAAGTTAGGCGATTTAGCAGGAGAAAACATATGGAACCAAGCTGGTTTCAAAGTAAGCATTGGAGCAGAGCCGTCAGGGAGGAATTAGCATATGTTTAGGTGGAGAATGAGGTGAAAGACAATTAAAAAAACTGGATTTGCATTTCCTGAAGGAAATAACAGTGCTTGCAAAGCCAGCAAACAGTAATGTTAAAATTTAGGCTACATATTCGCCTACATATACTGTGCCCTCAAAGTATGTCCTCATTTTGTGAAGAAAAGGTATATGTTTTTGGGACATACTATCATGTCATAAAATTGTGTTTTTGATGGCCAATCTGTCTCATAGTTATATGCATCCTATTAGCGTAAACTGGCCTGTCAATCATCTTGTCAAAGGTAACATCCACATTTAATTTAATTTCTTACCATATAGGAGAAAAAAGTAGAACATTGATTTTCCAGTCGTAGAACTTTCATGCAGAGAACTCTCCCTCATGTGTTTGCATAATGTTTATGAACGTTTATAAAGTTTATGGCCAAACCTATATTTATTATAAGAAATTATGATCCACACTCACGAGAACAATCTTCTTTTTTCTTTTATTTTACATTCATTACTGATGGGAAAAGTTTGTGCAAAGAGATAAACAGCGCAAATCGCTCGATCCATTCAGAAATGACACAGAATTGTGTTATACAGTTGTGTGATATACATTGCCAGTCAGAAAGAGGAAGAGCAAGAAATGAGAAAAAGGTGTATGTGAGAGAATATGAAATATAGAGCCATCAAAAAAAGCATCATTGATTCAATGACTGTGCACTTTGAGGTGCATGAAATGGAAATGTTAGAAAATGCATCTGATCTCTTCTGCAGGTCAGTGTGTTGGAGCTGCGGTGTGAGGTTTGTGCAGTGTTGCGTGATGTTGATGTCTTGCGGTACAGTGAAGTCTCTTAGTAGTTCTGTCAGGTGGGAGGATTAAGGGCTTCCGTCTGACCTGACCTCACTTCCCACAACATCATGAATGACAAGTGATGCTGTATAGAGCCAGGCCTCTTTTAAAGGGTCATTGTGTCTTTTTTTTGCTCTCTTTCTTGCTCTCTCTTTAAGCATGTGTTTCTTCATCTGTTCTCAGGCTCTTAAATTCTAACGAAAAACAAGGCGCAGCAGCTGAGTAGATCCTCTGGAGAGCGGTGCTAGCGCTTCAGATGACAAGGGCACTTGGAAGACAATAGGATTGTGTGCACATGCATCTAAAGGAACATTAATAAACACAAAACATGAATGAGAAGAAGAGAAGCTAGGCGATTTAGCAGGAGAAAACATATGGAACCAAGCTGGTTTCAAAGTAAGCATTGGAGCAGAGCCGTCAGGGAGGAATTAGCATATGTTTAGGTGGAGAATGAGGTGAAAGACAATTAAAAAAACTGGATTTGCATTTCCTGAAGGAAATAACAGTGCTTGCAAAGCCAGCAAACAGTAATGTTAAAATTTAGGCTACATATTCGCCTACATATACTGTGCCCTCAAAGTATGTCCTCATTTTGTGAAGAAAAGGTATATGTTTTTGGGACATACTATCATGTCATAAAATTGTGTTTTTGATGGCCAATCTGTCGCATAGTTATATGCATCCTATTAGCGTAAACTGGCCTGTCAATCATCTTGTCAAAGGTAACATCCACATTTAATTTAATTTCTTACCATATAGGAGAAAAAAGTAGAACATTGATTTTCCAGTCGTAGAACTTTCATGCAGAGAACTCTCCCTCATGTGTTTGCATAATGTTTATGAACGTTTATAAAGTTTATGGCCAAACCTATATTTATTATAAGAAATTATGATCCACACTCACGAGAACAATCTTCTTTTTTCTTTTATTTTACATTCATTACTGATGGGAAAAGTTTGTGCAAAGAGATAAACAGCGCAAATCGCTCGATCCATTCAGAAATGACACAGAATTGTGTTATACAGTTGTGTGATATGACAACATTAAACATGAAAACATGAAAACAGCCACTACAAGGTAAAATGCATGTAAACAAACTGCAATGTAAACAAACTTTAATAGCTTATTTCTCTTTAAATGTTTCATTCTAATAAATTTTAATTTAAGTAAAATGTTAATTCAGTTTTGTAACATTCTACAAAATATATTTTGTGTTTTACAGAAGAAAGTAAGTCATACAGGTTTGGAAAGACATCAGGGTGAGGAAAGGATGATAGCATTTATTAGCAGTAATGGCGGGCGCACTGGTTTCCTTTGCATTGAAGCAATAACGAAAAAGAAAATGCCTGAAGACTCGCACCGTGTCTACACAAGATGCGACAAAATACTATAGAATCCATTATAATCGGTGATGTGGCCTACACTGGATGTGGCGCAGCACAGCACGACAAATCCCCGACAGTAAACTGATGCCTCGTTCTATTTATGACATAGGCCTACTGTTTGACAAAGTACAAATGATTTGCAATGGTCACTTTGTCACATCCAGTGTGGACAGCCTCAAGCTGTTGGCTTACCTCCGGCCTTTATTTCATTATCTATTTGCTTAATTTTTTTTGGCTAGTAGAAATTATGAATGGTCGGTAACTTAAAAATTTAGTAGCCAAATTGGCTGGTGAGTGAAAAAGTTTATTTCAAACCCTGGTTGTGGGCAATATTAGCCAATATTCTGCACTTTGAATTTTCACAGGAA